CTGGATATTCACTCCCCCCACCTACAATCCCTGCCGGACCTGAAAACTCAAACCCGCGACCTTCGGGTTACAAGTTCGACTCTCATTCCATTAGGCCACGACTGCTATGATTCTTTTCTATGAAAAGAACATCACAGCAACAGTCAAACATGGCGGTGGTGGTAGTGTGATGGTCTGGGGCTGCTTTGCTGCTTCCAGGGGGCAATTACTTTTTCACATAGTGCCAGGCAGGTTTGGACAGCTTTTTTCCCTTAAATTAAATCATCATTTAAAAACTGCATTTTGTATTTACTTGCATTATCTTTGTGTAATATCAAAATTTGTTTGATCTGAATCTTTTAAGTGTGACAAATATGCAAAAAATAAAAAAAAAACCGGAAGGGACATTTTTAATATCAAATTTTTCATGTACATACTGGCCATTGGTCTCCCTAATCTCTATATAGCAATTCTGATGGCAGAAAAAAAAATCACAGTTCACTGTGGAAGACAAACTTTTTAATTTAAAAATGAATTAAATATAGTATAAATAATTACCTTCCAGTGGGATTATGGCAGCCACAGGAGTGAGATCCACCACCCTATAGCTGCTCGGACTGATGCAGTCATCCAGCTTAATAAGACGCTCTTGAGAGCACTGTGCCATACCGTGATCACTAGTGATGATGACATTTATTTTCCCCCATAGTCCCGTTTTGTTGAGCTGCTCCATCAGGAAGCCAATATGACCATCCACTTCCTTTAAAACCCTGCTCATCTCAGTGGTGTTCTCCGGGCCGTATATGTGTCCGCTCCGGTCGGGCTCTTCCCAATACAGAGCGGCAAACTTCACAGATTTGTCCGTGGTCATCCACTGTGTGAGGTTTCCCAGCCGGTCTTGGAAAGTCACCTTGGGGTCGTATTCGAATTGGTATTTTAATGTGTGGTTTTGAATATTGACATCCGTTCCTGGCCACATAGCAGCCGCTGCCTTATATCCAGACTCCTCCACGGACACCCAAATTGGAGTGGCTTCGTTCCACCAGAAAGGGTCACTGTCATTCTGAATGGAGAACGTCTTTTTCGACACCGGGTCGTACATAATACTGGCCAGTATCCCGTGGCTCTCCGCGTACAGACCTGTGACGAGACTGTAATGATTGGGAAAGGTTTTCGTCGTGAACACATTGGACAGCTCACGCACAAGGACGCCCTCGGAGAAGAACTTCTCGAGATTGGGAAATGAGTATTTCTTTAGGTAGTCTGCGCGAAAACCATCAAACGACACCAGGAGGAGCGGCGACGCGTCGTTTCCAGACTCCAGTCGCGTTTGGTTTCCGGTCGGCACGGACAGGGTTAATCCAATACAGGCGATGAGAGCGCACAGATAACCGCTGACCTGCATGCTGTGCTGCGGCTGCCACTTTCTTCACTGTCAATATACGAAAGCAATTTATAACAGACAGAGACAGACCACCACTTGTTCATGTTAAAGTCCCATAATGAAATGAATTTTTACCCACAAGTCATCAATTTCCTCATTAACACACACTCTTTTCAGCAGACAACAACGCTACTTAACTTGTGCCTGGTACAAACCATTACTACTAACCCACCCTGCACTTTACTGACTGCATGTACAACTTAAACTTAATTTAAAACTTACTTTATTTCAACCAGTTGCCAAAAAGACATTTTAAAAAAAGGATGAAAAATGACAAACACACAAAAAAATTCTTACTTATTTGAGATAGCTGACAAGGCAACATTTCTCATTTTCATTTATTTTAAGTTGAAGTACTAAAATAACTAAAACCAAATAAACTAATAAAAACTATACAGACACATTAAAAAAAAAAAAAAAAAGAGACAAAAACACAATAAAATTACTAAAACTTCTTACTTTATTCAGCTAGTTGTCAAGGCAACTTTTTTCAAAACTGCAATATATGCCAAACATGCAACACTTGCACATACTGTTTTCCACAAAAACTGTTTTCATTAGTAGTTTTCTTATTATTTTAAGACAATTATGAATGCAGACGATGTGAAATATTTTAACTGCAGTCATAGGGTTGAACTAATGTTAGGGAGAGACTTAGGGTTAGTAATAAGACGGAAACAACTAAAAGATTAAATGTATAATAATTGATAATCAAGATAACTGCACATAATGTTTCATTGTACATAGATATATTATGTAGTAAAGTATAGTAGGATAGTAAATGATGGATTAAAATGAATTTATTTTGTATATATATATATATATATATATATATATATATATATACTGTATAAACAACTGATTCACTGATTAATCGATTATCAAAATAATCACTAGTAGATAATAATGATACATTTTGTACCAAATATTTAGTTAAAAAA